GACCCAATTTTTTGGGTTATTTATCTAGATTCAGGTCCACGTACATCTAGATGCACGTGGAGCTAAATCTAGATAAATAACCCAAAAAATTGGGTCGTTTTTGCTTGGGTCAGCACATTAAACTCTCTCAACCAGGTTATATGCCATTCAAAAGCCCGGGTCACAGTTTGTAACGTTCCCTCGTCAGTGAACGCGTACCATTCAGGTAATTTTTGCTCGTATAGAGCAAAATGGCTAAATTAGCTTAGTTTCAACAAGAAAATTGCATTGAGCCAAAGTATTATTAATTGCCTATCTCTTCTCACATCTTTTCTTCAATTAATCGGAAATTCATGCACCATATTGACCGCTTCCATAATTTGTCTTTTCTGTTATGCATCAGTCTTTATCACACTCTGTTGAAAACGCATTAATGTGATGATGAGATAGAGAATCTCTGCTCTTCTAAAAAAAAGAGAAGGAAATTAGGTTGGCTGTACTCCAAATTGAATTTTATAACAACTGCCTAACAAAAACTCGTGAGACCATTAAATGACAAAAAGGAAGTCTGTCTAATATTTTCAGTCAACAAGAGAGATTTAAATTCATTTCCTGGCAAAATAACAGGCAAGAAATGTCAAAAAACACTTCTTGGGTGAGACACATCATAAGAGCTTGCTTCTTCATATTAAGAAGCTCCACGCGCAATGTGCTGTAGATCAAAAAAACCAATAATCTTCTTATTTTTCAAGATATGTGAAAAATGAGCGTCTGATTTGCCAGAGTACATTGCTCATATATTTTCTAAAGTTTCGTCTAGATTAACTATCCGTGTGGAGCTTCATAGCTACAAGTTAATGCTCTAGAACGATATAGGACACTGTAAATATGAGAATTATCAACATTCATTTCTTGGATGTATAACAATATCAAATAAGATAGTTGCTGTAACCTATCATTTTGAATATATAATTTGTAATTATGCACTTTAGAACTAAAATAATGATTCGTTTAAAATAAACGAATAAAAAGAGAGTGTTGTCATAACTACCATATTTTCAATCGCTATTATCTTACTGTATCAAAAAATCCTAAAAACTAGAAATTTTAATGTTACAGTGTAGAAACGAAAAGGTTTAACTTGTCTGCTGGCGATCGAACTGAACTAAAGGAATTCGAAGCACAGTCACTATTAATCTATAGTTAGTGGCTTCTTGATTGTGGCAAAAAGACGTCTTTAGACTTTAAATATAAGTGTATGCTCAGTTGGAAAATAATTTATATTAGGATTCGATATGGGCCTGAAATGCAATCAAAAACTATAATATAAGGTGTATAATACAAAAGATATTTACGAAATTCGTTACCAATTCCTTTGGTAGATATAGTTTTAGTATCGGAGTCAAATATTCTAACGACTCGAAATAAAACTAGTTCAAGCTAAAGTTGAAATTGAGTGAGATAATTGAAACTGTATGCACCATTATTTTAATTCTGTCAAATCCAAAGTATTATCATTATGTTCTCGATTAATTGTTTTACTATTGAAACAATAATGATGATAAAGACTTCTATACATAATTTCACTATTCATATCCTCTGGTGCATGTCGAACATTTCGAAATGAAAATTTATTTACTTGTTCAGATTCAGTCAGCTAATTATTATTTATCTACTTATGTGTATAATATTTTAGATCAATTGTTACTTTTTTCTTATTTTGTCGTTCATTATTTCCTATTTTTTGTTGTTTCAATGACTGACGTTTTGTCATCTCATTGGCAACAACAATCTCACCACCGAACAACAAATCTTACGACCACCACTCACCCAAATTATCGTCGTACATTACCTCATGATTATTCTCAAAAGCCTACAACATCTCGAAAAATCACCGTTTTTCGAAATGGTGATCGATACTTTGCTGGTAAACAAATCTCTGTTGCACCTCAACGATATTCATCGTTAGGCCAACTATTACAAGATTTATCGAGTACAGTTGATTTGCCATATGGTGTCAGAAGGCTTTTTACTCCAAAATCTGGTTCAGAGGTAACTAATGTACAAGTTCTGAAAGATGGTGCTTCCTATGTCTGCGCTTCATTTGAACCGTTTCAAAAACTGGAATATAATATGCAAATGGTGCCAAAAGGAACGTTCAACATTGATCAAAGTGAGTGAAAATAGTTCTTTTAAAAACGATGTGTAAATGATTGTTATGGGATTAGGAGACACATACCATATTAATAAAGTTGTTGTTGAGTTTTAATCTGCATGGAAAAATCTTTACACTCTTGTTAAAATGCGATATGATATAGATATTAACAAAAACTTTAAGATACTGCTTGGTAACTATTCAATTTTTAAAGGTTCAATAAATTCTTACGACAAGAATTCTTGAATCAGATTTTTTTTCACTTTTTATGAAACAAATTTTCCATATTTATTTCAAATGAGTAGTTGATGTAATTATGAACTTTATCGGTTAAGAATTGTGACGATTCTCACGTATTATTTTAATCGAGTAGTTGCTACATTCCTTGTTTTCTCCTCTTTCTATGAAAACACATTAGTATTTAATAAGAAATGACGGAGACAAAAAACATGTTGCGTTCGACATTCTCAGTGATATAATTTTTCCCAATTAATATACGGAAAAAGAAAATACGACAGGTGAATAATATACTACATCCAGTTCTTTGTTTCTTCTTCTATTTTTATCTTTGATTATTATTTACAATCTCTACATACGTTGTACATTACTAAGTCAACATTATATTGATACATCTAAATTCAAAACATATTGCATTTCAAACAAACAAAAAAAACTCTAATAGAATGGAAAAGAAAAGAAAATTTTCTTTTCTTTCTTTTCTCTTTAGTCTGATTTTTTAAATTATATTTTTATTTTTAAAAACGTACAAATAATTCTTCCGAAATTACCGTGTGCTGTAAAATACCTTATTGTTATGCACATTTTCTTCTCGTTCTCTATGTATGTGTGTGTGTGTATGTGATTATAAACTAATAATAATATAATAATAATAAAATGAATTCAAAGTAGTTATATCTACTACATATATACCCCACTTCTTCTCGACAATGAGATTCAAATAAAAATGAAGAAAAAAAAGTTTCAAGAACAACAGAAGGAATAAAATTATTACTTACTAAGATTATTTTAATAACTCAATTCGTCGTCTCTATACAACAATCTAATGACATTTGTTTTTCATTATTCTTCTTTTTAATACAATGCCATTGGCAGCAGTCATTATTTATTGTTTTTGAAATCAATATGAGTTACACCACCACTCAAGACTATTACAATCATGTTTTTAATACCAAAAGTGTTTAATTTTAGTTTTTATCAACCCTTAGAATGGAGTAAGTGGATATATTAGATAAGAGTGTGATATACCAAAGTATTTATGATTATAAGTAGAAACGTCAGTAAAATGCAAACGTTTGACAGAGAAAATAAACACTCTCTTCAACTAATCATGTAACAACTTGAAGTAGCCATATAACTCTGTTATCGAAGTGAAATTTTGTATTGACATTTTGTTCTTCTGATTGATTTTCAAAGAGAGAATGATCAGGACTATATGGAACATCTAAAATTGTAGAAGAAACTTTTCTGAATCAAATGAAATGACTTTTGATCCTCCTGTATGGTCTTTCGTTTAAAAATAAAAAAACAAATACTAAACAAAAACTAACTTTTTTTTCTTTAAATAAAATTAGAAAAGGATTTTTCGCCTTTTTCTTTTTCTCACATAAAAGACCGTACAGATCCCAGAGACATCTTATTTGATTTAGAAAAGTTTGTTCTACCATTTCAGATGCTGCGTAGCTTCAGTCGTTCTTTCATTGGAAAAATCATAAGTAGAACTATGAAAATGAAATGAAAGTAGTAAATTAAAGTTTTACACGACTAAGAAACAGAAAAAATAACCTGTTAGATAAATATATGACAAGAAAATGTCGCAAAAGCATGGATCTAGTTCGATTCTCGGTTGAAGCATACATTTTTCTTTTCGTATATTTGCCGATCAGATTATTTCTCTTTCTTAGCTGTGTGAAATTTCAATTTTCTCATTTCACTATAAACAAAATGTTAACATTTTGGTACATGCTATTCATATTTTCCGCCTTATTATCATAATACAACTAGCTCCATTTAAAAGTTGATGTAAGAGCAAAAACCAGAATAATTGAATTAGACATACAAATGTACTTTTTTCATAAACAACGCGACCATGATCTTTATTGTGCTTGAACTATGTGTTTTCATTTTAAAAACTTAGATCAAATTTTTAAACTTTTTCCTTTTTTCTTAGTTAATGCTTTTCTTTACAACGCAGTTTTAAATACGCTTCTATTTCAATGTATAATAGTTTTACTTTGTAGAGAATAACCTCTACGAAGTGCCAGAGAATTTATTTTTTTTAGCTGACTATATTGAAAATATTTTTAGCAAAATTCTCTAGGACTTAGAGCTCTACTGGAGGGGACAACTAATCGGGAATTCACAAACTAATCGGGAATAAATAATTTTTTCTAAGAAATCCTTAGTCCCACAAGATCTTTGAGTTAGTTACGACGAGTTTTCTAAAGTGTTTTGAGAAGTTTTTATCGCAGTTGCTCTTCTAACAAGACTGTTTTATTCAAAACGGGTCTATGGTGAGTCAATGAATGTTTTATTGTGTGATACAGGCTTTTTACTGTACATGTTACCAGTATGGAAGGACATCATATATCACTCATTCTCCTTTGCGACCATTTCTAATACTGATGTTTGACTGTAAATATGAGAGAACGACTTTTCTCTTCTTCATAAAGACCAAGGAAAAACAGAAGCTACATTATATTTACTTAATTTCATATTTATACTATTTAACTTTGTTTTTCTGTTGATGGTTAAGAAATTTCTGAGAAAAATCATTTATTTCTGACTGAACCATCAAAGATCAAGGTTTTTTCGGAGTCCTCTCTCCTATTTTAATTTGTCAGAGCTAGCCGAAAGAAACACTATTGTACAGAATTCTTAAACATCAATATTTTATCAAAATCAAATCGGTCATTATGAAAACAGTCTTTACCAATATTCTCATGCAATACACCTATTCTCTTATTCTGTGATGCTGAATTATGTATCATTCGAACGAGAGGGAAAAACTGATCATATGTTCTAATCTCAAGAGTCAATATGTCAAGTTAAAAGAAAATCGAAAAATAATGAGATTTTCTCAAACAAAAACCAACATTTTACCTAAAATGCACACTATTTGAACTTACTTACACTAAAAAAAATAAATTCTCTGGCACTTCGTAGAGGTTATTCTCTACAAAGTAAAACTATTATACATTGAAATAGAAGCGTATTTAAAACTGCGTTGTAAAGAA